GAATGTGACACAGAAATGCTAGTGCTGTTGGGCAAATGGGGCTGACGGACCTGCTCGAAGCAGAGCTACCGCAACCCTTCTATTGGTACAAAACACAGTATCCGTGAAGCCAATGACGGGCGATGAAACGGTGTGCCTGCATGTAATACTGAGTAGTGACATGAGAAAGAATAAAACCGGGATAGGGTCAGAGTTAAAATAGGGCTGGAGGATTCTATTTCTGATAGGAAGGTTAAGGAAGGTCTTTTGGATGAGGTGCCTCAGAGCAGAGATCTGAGTGAAGTGAGGGAAAGAGTCATAAGGAGCCGAAAGAAGGTTGAAGAGGGAGTGTACTTGGCAAGGTCAATGTGGTAGGAGCGAACAACAGGGAAGAGGAACGGGGGTGGGGAGGAAAGCTATGGTCATGTCTTCAGAGAGGTAGCCAGAAGGTAGATAGAAGACTTGAAGGGCATGCTCACATTTTTGATAGTGCACAACGTATGACGGGAAGCCATTGGTGGGTACTGAGCAGGAGCACGCGTGATTAGACACATTTGAATTGGATCATCCTGGCCGCTACTGGGGATGGATTCAAGAGTAAGAAGCAGGGTGACAAGAGGCTATTTTTTTTAAATAACATTTATTTATTTTTGAGAGAGAGAGAGAGTGCAGTGCGGTAGGAGCAGAGAGAGGGAGGGGGAGAGAGAGACAGAGACAGAGACAGAGATCCCAAGCAGGCTCCACGCTGTCAGTGCAGAGCCAGATGCGGGACTCAGACTCACCAACTGCGAGACCGTGACCTGAGCCAAAGTCAGACGCTTAACCAACTGAGCCACTCAGGGGCCCCAACAAGAGGCTAAATGATAGTCCTGGAGCACTGTGATGGTAGTTTGAATTGGGATGTCGGGGTGGTGAAAAGTAGTAGTAAATTTGGAGTATATTTTGAAAGTACACCTGAAAGAACTTTCTGATACACTGAATGTATGATGTGAAAACTCAGTCAAGGATGCCTCCAAGGATTTTGGCTTCAGTAACTGGATGAATGAACAGCTAGCTTACTGGAATAATGAAGGTTGGGAAGCGAGCAGGTTTGGGATGTTGTTTGCTTTTGGACTAGGTTGGTTTGAAATGGCCCTTCGGCATCTAAGTAGGGCAGTCAAGGAGACACGGTGACACGTGAGACTGAAGTTCAGGGGACAGGTGAGAGTAGGAGATATACATTGTGGACTGGGCTGCACATAGCACTGTTCTATGATGCTGACACTGTTTTAGCTCTGATGTACAACAAAGCTGTGCTCTGCATTGAATATTTACAATACGCAGATTGCACTTCACTATTCTCTCTAAACACTCACACTCCCACCCATACAACATAACCTAATTGCTTTATAGCACAGAGTTCTTTTCTCTTAGATATTTGAAGGCAACTGAGGATTCTGTGTATTGTACTTAGCGACCACAGAGACAAATGAGTGCACCCCAGCCAAGTAAATGTTCTCTAGAACACTTTTCAAAAAGATGTAACCATTACCATGTGTCCCTGCTGGTTTATCCATCTTTTAATCACTAAATTATTCAATATGTATAATGAATATTTGCTATGAATTTATATTTACAAATATGGTATAGTATATAGCTTAAAGAACATTTTTCATCGGTTTGGGAAAGAGAAAAATGTCTCATTAAATAGTTTTGTGAAAATACAAGACTACCTTAAAACTAAATGTCTGGATTTGTGGTGTAAATCCAGAAATACAGAAGGAATTTGAAGGAAAGAAAAGCTAAAACAAAAGCAAAACAAATTAGTGCACTCCAAAGGTGCCAACTATACAATTTTGGAACATCTCTAAGAGTTTAATTGGAAAGAATCAAAAAGCAATTCTGAAGAGCTCTCCAAGCTAATTTTCCTGTTGTTAACCCTCCTATTGAAGGGCATATCAAGGTCACACATAATCTAGCTTCAAGATCATTTTGAAACCATTCTGACCTAGTGTAGCCTGGATTGTTTTCTATTTAAAATCCCTAATGTGACCCCAGAGGATAGATTCAGGACAGAGCAACATGGGAAATTCAAGGAGGATTCCTAGAGATATCCATGAATATCACCAAGTAATTTTTTGGGACATACTTGCTTGGGCCCCTCCTAGCTCTCCTTCATTCTTGGATTCAGCTCAAGAAACTTCTGGTATCTAAAGGTTTACAAGTTCATAGTGAAAGGACTGTTTTGGTGAAGGGTACATTTCACTCAGCCTATGCGTGAAGGGAGGTGGGTGGGTGGCGGTTAAGATATGACTTTTCTGGCATTTGTTATATTATTCGTATCTTTCTTCTCCTTTACATAGGTTGAAGCAGATTGGATGTGCCTTTCAGCATTTTGGTAGATGCATGTTGGCTATTGGATGCCTGTCAGTGGCCTGCTGGTGCCCTGATATTCTTTATCAGATGTCTGTGTCTCTATCATCTCTTTTGCTTGGATGCCAGCAGCTAGAGTGGTTCATCTTTTCTGTGCTCCCGACGTTCTATATTCTTACAGCAGACGATGCATTCAAAGTCACAAAGGTGTTTTTCCTTGATCCATTTAAGATTCACTGAGTTAAATGAAGATCATGAACACATGTCCCTTTTTCAGGGAAGGGTCAGCTTTGGAGGTCATAGAAGCTGGGAAATAATGTTTTTATGTGGTTACTCACCGTATTGATAAAAGTTAATTTTCTCTTCCTAGCATCGTTTTTCAGAAACAATCAACTAAGAGGACACATCCAGCACTGTGGCTCTTTCCTCTTTTATCCATGATACTCTGCTGTCTGAATCATTCCGCATCTTTTATACAGAATCCACGGCTTGTATGCTGTCCTTCAAATATTAATGTACTTTGTCTTGCCTGGTAGAAATTTACTAGTTGTTAATTGAATTATTTACGGGATTTTTAAAGACAATTTAGACAGCTTTTAACTCAATAACTGAGGATCAAGGCTTATGACTATCTTAAGCCTGTGGCGGTATACAAACGGTGTGCAATGTCATTTTGACAGGTGCAAACATATGAAAACAGATCTACAACCACATTTCTTCAGTGTGGTAAGTTCCGAGGGCATTCAGGGATTATTATTTTAAAAATATGCTTGCTGCCTGCCACTCTGCTACCAAAAATAAGCAAGTCTGAGGGGCGCTAAGTGTTAGAGGACATTCTCGGGAACTATTGCATTCAGGACCACGTGTGACAAAGCATTTCTGAACTTTTTTGTTCACGACCTTCTTTCTCCGCTTTGCAATCAAACCAATTTATGTCTAAAGACCTGGGACTTTTTTTTTTTTTTAACCACGTATACTTTTTACTTCCAAAACTTATTAAAAATAATCTCAGCTGTTAGTTTATCTCAGTCCTTTCAGAGCATCTATTAGTAGGACGCGGTGCCACCAGACACACCATTTTAGGAGGCTTTATAAAGGATTGGGGAAAAAAAATCATTGGGTATTTGAGCTGGAAGATCTGGAGTCAGGGAACTCAAAAGTTTTGTCAGTAGTCCTATGACCTTGAAGAAGTTACTTAGCCTATCTCAACCTGGGTCTTCAGCTATGAAATGCAGCCCAAAATGACTGCCCAGAGTCGACCGTGCCAAAGACGTTAAACTGTTAGAAGAGTGAACATCACCATTGACTCGGATAGGCACATTGCACTACGTAAATCCGATGCTTTATGAGTTTACACTGAACGGATTTGGAAACGACTGCATGTGCGGGCTTTTCCGCCCCGTTCCCTGCAGGTATGGTAGTTTCTTTCCAGAAAAGAACTGAGAAGAAAGTTGCCCTGCCTATAGAAAAGTCCCAGAAAGGTTTCCCAGAGTGCGAGTGCAGAGAACTGGCCTTGGGCTGCTGGAAACCAAGACCCTAGGACACAGCCACTTCTCAGGGAGGAGAGGGATCATTTGAGTCCTTTATAAAAGGGCGAGGATGAAAGTGACCACCCGCCACACAACGTGGCACCGGAGTTCAGCTGGGAGGAGCCGGTCCAGGAAATGACCCAAGATAGTTACAATGTCACCAAGATATTTACCAATAAACCAGGATACTCACTGCGGGAGGGAGGGGGCGAGGAGGACGCAGGGAAGATTCTGGGGCGAGACGGACAGAGGGAGGATATAGGTTCCAGAGGCTTCGGTTTTTAGGGCTCTGGTGGATCCCTGAGAGCGCCCTTGAGGGAGAAGGCTCTGAGAGGGCCCGGAGCAATCCCCGTGCAGCAGCGGTTACCGTCCCCCGGGCGCGCGCGCCCCTTCCCGGGCCCCTGCTCCGCCGGCTCCCGCGAACCAGGACACCAGCCTCGCGCCCCTCAACTCCCACGCGGGTCTCGGGTTCGACCACCCCGGCCCCACCCAGCCCAGGGCTGCCGCAGCCCACTTGCCTTCCCAGTAACGGTTTCTGGACCCGTGGCCTCCGACCCCTCCCCCTCTCCCGGCTCCCGGAGCCGCAGTGCCGCGCCGTTAGGAGAGGGGTAATCCGCCCCGGAACCGACGTGAGCGGCCCCGGGGCGGGGTCGGTGGAGGCGGCTCGGGGATCTCCCCTCCCTGAATTCCAGCCCGAGGTCTCCGCACCCCACACGGGGCTCGCACCCGCCTCCTCAG